TGAGTAGAAACCCCCAAGTAAGAAATCATCAATGAAGGTTACAGAATATCCAAAACCCAGATCAAAGGAAAACTACATGGTCCCCAAGTATCACTATGAACCACCAGAAAAGGGAAATTAACCCTGTCATTGGCTCGATTATAAAAGGACACCCTAGATTGTTTTCCATATTGGAATGACTCACAATTAAAACTTGACACATTTGATATGTTTTGGAACAAGATGTGACATAGTTTATTGAAACTTGGATGACCAAGACGATCATGGGCTCGAGATGGTGTGATGGTGGCTGAATAAATGATGGATAAGAAGGATGTTAACAATCTGTACAATCCATTGGATTCAATGATTCATACCCCGAGCCAATCATTTATCCTGAATGCCAATAGTTATGAAAGGCACGCCTGAGGGGCAATGAACATGAGGCACAATAGGCTGGGCATTATGCTCTGTGATGCGGGTGATGGCCCTGATGCGTGTGGCGTGTGCACACTTGCACATCATCACATTATGTGGTGCTCTTGAAGCGCAGGAGTAGGGCTGTGCATTATTCGGTCCAAACCCGGACCGACCCGAACACCGGCCAAAACCGGACCGGTCCGGACCGGTCCTAATCCGGTCCGGTCTCCGGTCCATCAATTTCCCTTATCCGGGTTCCGGTCCGATCCGGTCCAAACCCGGTGAGACCGGTGGACCGACCGGTGGACCGAATATATATTTAATTTGGGCTTATAATTTACTTAAGTTACTTAGTATATGGGCTTAGGGCTTAAGTTACCCCAAATAATTCACTTTAGTCCAGTTCAATTGAGTCCAATATTCCACATGTCCAGTAGCAAATCGCCATATCCACATAATTGGGGCGGAAGAAATCTCAAAGGAAACGCAGGTCATGGTGTCACGCACTCACGCAGCACTCCTATTTCCAGTCAGCACTGTCAGCAGCCGTCCAATCGCAATTTGCAGCACTCCGTCCAGTAGTCCATCGGTTCCGCAGGTATGCACTCCGTCTAGTCGTCGGTCGTCCAATTGCAGCACTCGTCCACTCCGTCCAAACATTTTTTACATGTTTTTTTTACATTATTGATATTGAATTTATGATTTCTTTAAATTATATAAGTCAAAATTAGTGATGAATAAAAAAACTGAGTTTTTCAAAGCCTTCTAAAAAAAATTTATAGTAGCTTTTTTTAGACCATTGATAATTCTGTATAGTTGAATGGAATCATAACCATATCAATTTTAGCATCAATTTTAGCATTGACAGACTTTAGAATGGAGTATGTGTAGTTCTCGTGAATGTATTCATATTGATAGCCATATAGTCTGTTATTCGGTCCTTATTCGGACCGGTCCGGACCGGTCCAATTTTATTCAGTCCGGTCCCGGTCCGGTCTCACACTACTTCGGTCCGGTCTACGGTCCATTACTTCACTATTATTCGGTCCCAGTCCGGTCCGGGTCGGTCCGGGTTTGGACCGATGCACAGCCCTAAGCAGGAGCAGTGTGCCTCGCAAACATTAACGTTTTTAATTTGATATTTAAAAGTTAGGGTCATAGTTATCAAGGCGTCGCCTAGGCGACGCTTAGGCATCTGGGCGAGGTCATATGGACGCCAAACTGCTCGCCTAGCTTTTTTTGTGCAAACACCGGAGAAGATGACTGGAAGACGTTGAGAGAGGAAGGAGGGGAAGAAGACCTGAAGAAGACGAAAGAGAGAGAGAGAGAGAGAGAGAGACTGAGGAAGATCGAGCATACCATACTTGCTGACGCTGATTCATTGTCGCGACTGCCCAGATATCCAGCGACTCCAGCGGCTCCTCTAAACCCTCAGACTCTCTGACTCTCCATTAGTTATTTTAGGTTAACTAATTTGGGCTGAGTTTATTAAAACAGAAGTGGGCCTTTACACTTATTAATCTAGTTGTTTATTAAAAGAGCATTGGGCCCAAATATTATTTCACTTTTAAAAAGTTTAAAAAGATCAAAATATTTACTTATTTTTCTGAATAGGGTTACATTATTTAAAAAGATCAAAAGACTCGCCTAGTCGCCTTAACAACTATGATTAGGGTTACATTATTAAGAGGCCATATCATAAACGCCACTCAGACACTGTCGATGTGCACCATTGCAGCAATAGTCCAGTCAATCTGTCACGTTGAGTCACAGGTTTTGTGAGAGTCACTGTTTTCCCAAACCTTTTTTATTCATAGTAACAGTCTTCTTCTACTTCGAAGCCTTTCACAGACTTCCACCTTGAGTCGCATGCTTCCTCTTGGAGTCACAGGTTATGTCATACAGTTTTCTTCTTTCTACATCACAGGCTTCTTCATTTTTCTTCATTCTCGAAGCAACAGTGACATGCAGGCTCACTGACCTTCTTCTTCTTTCTGCTGTCTAGATGATCAAAAATGTCTAGAGTTCAGGCTGATTCTGAGATGAAAAGTTTGTACTAGCACCTTTGCTGAAGTTCAAGAATGGCAATGAGTACAGGATGGTCATTGGAGATTATTCGGTGAGAAATGGAATTCAGCTTGAGTTTAAGAAGAATGAAAAGAATAGACTTAGGCCCCGTTCCGTTCAACTTATTTTTTCTTATTTTTTCTTATTTTTTCTTATTCTTATTAAAATCAGATCAGACCAGATCAGATCAGATCAAATCAGATCAGATCGAATCAGATCAGATCGAATCAGATCAGATCCAATCAGATCAGACCCAATCAGATCAGGACTTATTAAAATCAGATCCCATCAAGAATTATTATTATTATTATTATTATTATTATTATTATTATTATTATTATTATTATTATTACTATTATTATTATTATTATTATTATTCTTAAAAATGAAAAAGAATAAACTTTAGAAATAGGTTAAATAGAAAACTGAGAAAGTAATCCTTAATTATTAGACGTCAGAAAAATTAGTCTTAAAATACATTAACAATGTCAATCTAATTCTACTTTTAAAATATGTTTTTATTGCTACTTGTAATTTGAGTTTCTAAAGTTTTGATCTTTTATAAGGATAAGATATTTTAATAAAAATACTATCTCTTCTATATATTGAATATCTAAATTTAATTACTTTTTAATGTATATCTAAATTAAATATTTATTCTAATGTATATAATAAGACCTGGCAAAAAGTGACCCGACCTGTTTTTGACCCAAAACCCGACCTGAAAACACTGGGTTTTGAACAAAGGTTTTGATGACCGAACCCGAAGTTGACCGAACCCGAAATGACCCGCTAAAAATGGGTCAAACCCAACCGAAACCGAACCCGACCTGACCGACCCGCTAAAGTAAGAATTTTGCAAAATTATACACTTTTTTTTACTCGTTTTTAGTGTATAAGTTTATATTTTCAGACAAAGTTTTAATGATATTGCATAATTATCTTACATTTTTCCAAAACTTAAGCATTTTTAAATTCCTTATATTGATTTATATATCTAAAAACTACTTTAGAGTTTAAAATAAAATAATTTTATAGATTTGATACTTTTTTTTGATATTTTAAATTTATTTAATAGAAAATGTAATTGTTAATGTGAATTTAAAAATTTAAAAAACCAAAGTCATAACCCGTTTGGTCGACCCGAACCCGATGACACTGGGTCATGAACATACAGTTCTCAACCCAAACCCGAATTGACCCGAACCCTAAATAACCCAAACTTGAAGTGACCGAACCCGACCTGACCGACCGATTTGCCAGCTCTAGACTATATATGAAGTAATTATTAAAATATTAAATTAATATTCTAATATAAAAAAATAATCATAAAATAAAAAATATTAGTACATTATAATATGAATGATTATTCTGATATATGAATTAACTATTTTTATTTTATTAAAAAATAATTATTAAATAAAAAATATTGATTATATTATAATATGAACTATCAATACAATTTTCAAACGTTATTATAAAGTCAAATCAAATTATTAATTTGAAATTTTAAATTAAATCATAATTAATCAGACCAGATCAGATCAAATCAGATCCAATCAGATCAGATCAGATCCAATCAGATCAGATCAAATCAGATCCAATCAGATCCAATCAGATCAGATCAGACCAGATCAGATCAGATCAGATCAGAACTTATTAAAATCAGATCAGATCAGAAAAACCATGCACAGCTTTCTCGATTGTTAAAATTTTACTTCCTGTTTTTGTTAAATGATCAACAACTCCTAGGCCCATAAACCATACTTAACAGTAGAAGACCGGGAGTTATAGTTGTGCCTAGTGTGACCTAACCAATTTTTCATTGATGATAACTAGATTCCCTGAGAGATTTTGAACAATTGGGGTAATATTTCTTGTTGTGTTTGTAGAGATAATAGAAGGACTAGAAGATTGAGCACTTAATTCAGGTGGAGGAAGACTTAAAATATGTGGAGGATCATCAGAACATACCATATTTGCGGCTAAAGGGGATAAAATTTGTGCCAGAGCAGTAAGGCGCAATGCCTTGAGACCAACCAAAAGCAATCCCTATTATGTCTACTGAAATAATTGATCAAATTGAGTCAACAATGAAGAAAAAAGGCCTGGGCAACCTGAACAATGGCTATTGATACAAACTCCAGTGGCCAGAATTTCTTTATATGCCGGCACTTGGTCAAATCTTGGCAGTCAGCAGCAGTACATGGTGGCGCGGGTGGAAATTCCCAGTCACAACAAGGCACCGTTGGGGTTGCCTTATGATGAGGGAGATTGTGGAGTGTTCCGTGCAAGGGAAAGGGGCTCCAAAAGAGGTTCTATGCATGAGCAGTACTTTTCACAATGGAAAAAAGTGCTTGGGGTCGAAAGAAATGGGGTTTTGGGACAAAGGAAGTAATAAATATAGTAATGACTAAAAAGAAAGTATGAAGTATTTGGGCCAATTGGAAGATAAGTACTTGGGGTAAATAAGGCTTTGGGAAAGAAAGAAATAATCAAGCGAGAAGCTAGTGTGACTTTTCCAAGTTTAGCTGATTCAAACATCCCTTTTAGTTAGTGGGGATCATTTCACCGTGATTCTATTGCAACAAAAGCATCAAAAGACAAAACCATTGCATTGGTTATGCATAAAACAGCCATATCAGCATGTCAAAGGAATACTTGAGGAAACAAATCCAGTGCAAAAGCAAGGAAATTCACACCTTAGCTTCTTCTCCATCAACTAATCTCTTCAACGTAAAACTGAGAGGCTCCACGGATAATAGTTGAACAAGGGCAATCTGCAAGGCAAGTGTTGCATCATATAATTAACAAATACTAATTGATATAAAATTAGATCATGACAAGATAATGCAAGTCAAAATTATGAGAGCTCCATCCAAAGGGAATATTTAAGGAACATGGTTACGGACCTTCAAAGCTCTAATGAAAGATGTTAGTGTCCCATCTTGTCTTAGGAAGTAATTCCTTAAGAAAGTTGCAACCATGTGACCAACACTGAAGCCAGCCCAACGCTTGATAAAAACAGCTTCAATTACTGAATCCAGCCTCTCAGGTGGAGATTTCAACACAAATGCACTTGCAGATAGACACCCAAGTGCATGTGAAGAAAGTGTGTTTCTAGGGGCATCAATATTCGTTGCAACACCCATTATTAAGATGATTGGGGTCTTAACTGCCCATTCACTGTCGGTAGATAGAAGGATAAGGACATGCGGTAAAATATGCATGACATAGCATGAAATAGACTACAAAAAGATGTTGAGACGTCATTTGAGCAATCAGATCAATTATGTCTTATGTCTACCATGTCATGTAAACAATATATTGTTCTAAACACGATAGTTGAGCACCTACACCTATCGGACAGAGTATAAGGGAACTTTAAATATTTAAATGAGTGTATACATATTCTGGTGATGATTTCATTTCAAGAAGATATTTGATAGGTCCTTTATTGAATTGAGAAATAAAGGCAGAATACATGATATCTCCAGATGAAATACTTACTAATTATTAATTTGGTCAGAAATTTGAGAATATAAGCTTGGTAAAGGTGTGCCATGAACTAGTGTAGATATTTACCTCAACATAATGATTAACTCTGACAAGACAGCACCGCAACATCTCTCCAGATCCTCAATAATCACAACTAAAGGCTTCTCACAGTTTCCATCCTTGGCATACCATGATGCTAAAAGGGAAATATCTGCTGCCTTAGGAACAAGAGTAAAACAAGTATTATTGTTAGTGAGCACATTGTTTAAAGGCCCAAATAAATGTCATATTTCTAATTTTCCAACTTACATCAACATCTACCAAAAGAAACTGTCGCAACAAACTTCTTAGACACCCACCAATGCCATTTTTAGAACAGAAGTCCAATGATGAAACATTAGCGACATGGCACCCGTGATGTGTCATGTGTAAACGTAGTTCTTCAAACGTCAATATATCATCAACAATTTCCATATTTTCTGTAAATCAATTACGGCATATGCAGATTGAAAGGTGAACCATAAGTAAGGATTTGAAAAATAAAAAACAAAAGCACGAGTAGCAAAAGTATAATAGATTATGGTGCAATCATTAGAAAGTCTAGGACTAACTGGTGAGAACCAGGCCAGTGAATAATCTTCTTTGAGATACAGCTTCGCTGTTAGTATATAGAACCGGGTAAGAATGACTGGCTTTAGTGGTAATCTCCGGCATTTTGAACCCTTGCAATGCATTGAAAGACTCAATAACCCATTTCCTTATCTCATCAAATGCATCAGCATTTATACTCCTCAAGACTTCCTTGAATCCAATTCATTAAGATAAAAGACTTAGTATCAGCAAAAAAAATCCATGAAAGGACGACCTGGAAGCAAATGCTTTGAAAAAATGATAAACCTTGATGGTGTGTTCAATTTTGGACCACACATAACGAAAAGCATCCATTTTTAGGCGGATATCTGAGTCCGTTTGACATTCATCAGTTGCGGATTTGGTCTTCCTTTTCCTCCGAGTTGATTTCCCATAACTTAGAGACTTCGAAGCTTTGTGGAGAACATAGAATGGCTATGTTGATTTTTCATTGCAGAAAAATAGAGAGATGATTTATACCCGAAATAGGAATCCAATTCTTACGGGTACATTTACAATTGAAGAAGATCACTGGCAATTGATATTAAAGGTGGTACCTGGAGGTTGTTTTCTGATGTGTCGGCCGTGTATGTTTCCTGTAGAAGATTATCGGCGCATGAAGAAGATGCCATTTCTTGGAGGACGGATGCTGCCCTTCCTGACTTGCTCAAGGCCTCAAGCAGGGAAACCCTGACACTTCATTCTCCTTATCGTCCTTTTGGCTGGAAACAAAGCTGCGGCCAAAGCTGCGGCCAAACCCTGACACTTAAGATTCTGATAGATTGTTTAGACTCTGTCGATTCTGTAAAGTCCATTGATTATTTAGAGTTTATGCAAAGTTAGGTGGATTTTACTGGATTTTATCATCAAGATTTCATAGGATTCTAGTAGATTATTTATAATACATGGATTATTTCAACAGGAACTTTTTTTCTCTTATTTAAAGGCCAAGCCCAAATACACATAGTGCAACAAGAGTGACGAATTGACTCTTTTGATAAAAAAATTAAAAAAATTAAGAAAAGAACAGATTGAAGAGGAGACAACAAATATGCAATTCTCAAGCCGGAAGACCATATCCATACAAAAAAATACATAATAAAAAAGAAATTCATTATAGTTTATTGGAGATAGAGAAATCTTACCGTGAAGGCTTGACGACGACAGAGGGAAGTTGGAGAAGAGAAAAACTTGTGCTCACGGAGGAGGAGATGCCAATGGAGGAGGAGATGGAGAAGATGAACGAAAGAAGAGAAAAGATTCGTAGGAGGAGGTGGAGAAGATGAGGCGGAAGAAAAGAGGGGCGTTTGGATTCCACACAATCCCTAGTCTTTTATTTGGATTTGGAAAAATCTTTTTTATTTATACTTCGAATCCATCAAAATCTATTTTTTATTAGAATCCTTCAAAATCTATTGATTTTCCAATATCATTACCTTTAAAAACATTTTTTAAAATCTCAATTGAATACCTCTAAATTTTAAAGAATTTTTTTAAATCTCAATTGAACACTCATTGACTTTTGAAATCCTAAAAAATCCTGCAGAGTCTAGATTGAATGCACCCCCCTTAGAGTCTCTTCTTTAGAATCGGAAAAAAAAGTTGGATATTGGAAAAATTATAAAATAACTAGAAGAAACTAGAAAAATTTTATATATTACTCCCTCCATCCTAAAACTTTCTTTCCAGAGCACTATTCCAACTTCACGGGAATTTATACTTATTTGTGTTTTTTCATGGCCTATATGATAAAATAAAATATTCTTGTCACCACTTGTTTTGTTGAACTTTTGATGTAGTTTTTAAATATATATGTTTTATTTTTTATTTCTATACCAATATTTAAATAAGATAGATTGAAAAAATTTGGAAATTTTCTTCATTTTGCGAACCGGGAAGAAAGTTTTAGGACGGAGGGAGTACAAGATTTTGTTTTAAATATCGGACATTTCACACAATGTAATCAAACGTATTTTTTCTTTCATGATTGACATCTTATTTTCATTGTAACTCCTATTTTTGGAATAAAGATATAGAACAAAAAGAACTAGAAAAAACTGGAAAAAATGGAAGTAACTAGATGAAACTGGAAAGAACTGGGAAAACTAGAAAAAACTGGAAGGAACTAGAAGTTAAGAATTTAAGCCCTAAAGAACAAGCTCTTAGTGCATTTGTTGTATAAAAGAAGTATGCTCTTTCAAAAAAGAAAATATTCTCATATAAGCTCATGAAAAGTGTGAGAAGATCACACTTTAAATGTGGACCTTGAAACAATGTAAGCATCACGCCTCTTAATAACATCTATTGGACTTGAATGCCAAACCTCGTATATGTTTTGATGTATGAAATAAGTCTTCCAAAAGCTACTAACACTTTCACAGGATAAACATAACACCAAACCTCTCCTAACTTGATTCGCATCATCAAGAAAATACTCCTACGAGCGAAGAAAACAAATATGTAGGGGTTTTGATATTTATGATGAATCACTTATGCCCTTACACTCAAAATACTTTTTCTAAATATCTCCAAACATCATCTTAGTTAGGGTTATTTTGAAAAGAAAAAATGATGGACAAGAATTCCACTAAATAATCCGACTTGATAGGCGGATCGTAAAAACAATTTAGAAATGAGAACTCGAGAATTATGGAATTATACGCTAGGTTTAGCTTGAGGTTTTCCATTGGGATCCTCTCTATTTATACACATCCCTTTACATAATTAAGGTCATTAGTAATTATGGAAACTAATCCCGTGATTCACTCGACCCTATTTCTTCGGCTCTTTTCCCGCAATCTAGTCGCGTCCTCTTTCTCCGAAGATGGACTCTGCGTGGCTCTTCAGTTCGGGGCAGCCCAGACCCAAAACTTTGGCCCGGCCCGATGCTACCTTAAAACACCTGCAGGCCCCGAACATGTTTGGAGTTACTCCCAAAACGTGTGTAGTAAATGTGCAGAGTAAATGCGGAAGTAAATAAATAAGTCCAGTCCAAATTAAATAACAACAAGGGTGGGTTCATACCCAAATGATTAATTAAGTTAGTGAAAGTAATAAGAGCTCGTCTGTGCGCCCCCCATCTCCCCATCGTCACTGCTCTCCAGGGTTGGCTATACACATATTAATACCTGTACTTAACGTACAGAAAACCACATGTTACTAACTGTTTAGTTTTCACCTGTTAAAGTTATTACAAATGACAAGGTGATTGGAACATTCATGATGATGATATGACTTGATGCATGACTTTAAGTATCAGGGACACCCCTGCTTAGTCTCACTCGACAGGATCACCCCTGCACTCCGGTCATCGTCCCCGAATAGTAACGAGCCGGGCACGACGAAGATGTCGCGAGTGGACTAGCAAAACCGGGTAGTAGCCGTAGCCTGACTACTATGTACGTACACAAGCCCAACATGATGAAAACCCGTTGGTCCCCGAAGGTTCCTAGACGGGCCCACTGTAGTAGGCGCACAAAGTCCTCCCTACAGCGGTATGCACATGATGAAAAACCTAGGACATGCGTCTAGTATGAACATGAGGATGCTTGATATTTTTACCTTTGGTAAATGCCAAGAATATATCAATTATATAACATTTAAAATAAAGATTCACTCTTCATGCAAGAAACGATCAGATTCTGGGTCAACGTGGTCAATGGGGCTCGTTCTACAAACTGCCCGGAAGTCTGCCCGCAGAACGGTCGACCGTACCCTACCGGCGGTCGACCGTGGACTGCCTTGTGGGGAACTAGATGGCCGACGGTCCACCGTGGTCTTCCGTCGTGGCCGGCGGTCGACCGTCACGATGGTGACCGTCGGATTGGCCATGGGAACGGTCCACCGTCCGTAGCGGCAGTCGACCGTCCCGGAGGCAGTCCGCTGTCCCTTGCCCCGTTTTGGTCCGTTTTGCTAATTTAACACCTAGATTGTTTCTAGAACAATAACACAACATTTATGAATATATTCCTAGTGGTACCTAGGCCAATTTTTATGGGTTTTACGTAATGAACGTTTTAGTGACTAACCTAGGAACATGCATAGATTCTACGTAGGTTGCGTATGATATTACTACGAATATAACGACATAGATTATAACTAAATGTTCTAGAATTAGAGGAGACAACTACTCACCTCTAAATGAAGGGGTTGACGGAACGAGATGAACGAATGGTGCCAACGAACGGACGAACGACGACTACGCTTTGCACGAACGCCCTAGCTCTTCTTCTCCTTCAACCTTGCACCCGCCGGAGCTTCGCCGGAGGTCCTCCTTGCTGCTGGTCTGGCTGAATAAAGGGGAGAGGAAGAGAGAGAGTGAGAGTGATTCTTGGGAGTTACAAAGTGGAAAGACAAATGAAGGGAGAGATGGGGGTTTTAATTTAGAGAAATGATTAGGAAATAATGGTGATGGTAATGAATGGGTTAAGGGTGGCGCATGGAAGTAATTGGGGGGTTACAATCTTTATTCTACTCCGTTATGTAAAATCTAACCTGAACGGTACGCGCTTTTTCCCCAAACGGGTCTGAATTGAGATCCGTTTGCGTTTCTGGAATCAGACAGTCAAAACGAATTTAATGATATGATCAAATAATTTTTCTAAGAACTTTTTATTTTCCCCAACTCCAGTCCGGAAAAGTAATTAATTAATTAAATTAATCAATTCTATTAGACCGGGTTGCAGGGCGTTACATACATAGTCTGGGCCGTTTGGCGGGTATCGACCTATCACAAGCCCCCCAAATCCTTATTCCTTAGGCGGGCCACATCAAGATATGGGGAGTTATCGAGGTCAACATGTGCCTTCCTTCAACGGATCCAAGTCGTCCCTTGATATCCATGTGGCGGTTGGCTCGATTGCCCAAAGGCAATCATAACATGTCTTCTCACCTTCCTCATTGGGTCTGATAAAATCGCCGATGGACGCCTCCTTCGTCTCATTGTTCATCAATCCAACTTAGATTGTGCCCCGACCCGCTTTCTACATTTCCAGGTTAGTCCTTTGCTCATCATCATGTCGTCTTTGGATTTCGATTCACCACATCCCTCTTCTAGTTCCCTTCAAGCCAATCAACCGGCACATTTCAGCCAGAATCAAGGCCCATCCACCCGCCTCAGCCGTCATCGGCGGCTGTGTCTAGCCGGAAACAACGCCAATTGAGGAAATAGTTCTCTCCTCTAGAACCTGTGTTACAGGGCCTTAGGGTTGAACTAGAGGAAAACAACATGGCTTTATGCAATTGCCAGATCTTGGACCAAGGGTTCGCAAATGCTACTGATATGGTTAGCCCCGCCATTGAGGCCCGACGGCCCCGCAAGACTGAGACCGCTCTGAACGCTCCCCCCGCTTCACGGTCCATCTTGCTTCCTTCAAGAGAGGGTTGCGATATCCTTTGCACCCTCTTCTGGTGGAGTTCTTGAATGAAGTGGATCTCCTCCCTTGCCAACTAGTCTCTAATTTACATTGATATTTAGCGGGCTACTTGGTCAAGTGTTAGTAGGCTAGGGTGACTCTCATTCTTGATCACTTCTTGTTTACATTCAAGCTCGCTAAGGGCCATAAGGACTAGGCCTCCTACGCTTGCCTCTCCCAACGGACGATCAGGTTTTTTGTTAGTGACAAGAAGGGGTCCACCAAGGACTAGAAACTCTTCTTCGTCTTCGTCTCTACCGGACCCGAGTCTCCTTTTACCTGTGAGATGACACCTTATGGTAAATCAGATGACACAACACACAACACTGCCAATGGAAAGCTCACCAACTACAATGCAAAGCTCACCAACTGTCAATGCAAAGCTCACCACTTTTTTTTAAATAAAAAAAGTTAAAAAAATAGCACCACCACTCAACGGTCAACGGTCAAAATCTAGTCAAGTGGCCGATGGCGATGGCCGGCGGTGGCAGGTGGCGGTCAACGGTCAAAATCTAGTCAGCGCCCTTTCCTTTGATTATATTTTTTCAAAAAAAAATTCAAAGTGTTAAAAAAATATGGTGAGCTTTGCTTTACAGTTTGGTGAGGTTTGTAGTTGTGTCTTTGGTGAGCTTTGCAGTGGCCAGTGGTGAGCTTTGCATCATCTCACCGTAGCTTGTTATCTCACCATAAGGTGCATCTCACTGGAGTTAATCCATATATATATATATATTTAATGCAAGGAAATTTATTATTAATGGAGAAAAAGGAAAGAAAAGTACAAGTGGGGTGGCCAGTTGCCCTACACTTCGGCCAGAATTGTTGTAGGAAAAGAAATAGAGAGGTACCAAAAGCTAAATATACTAGACAAAGAGAACAATCCAAATTCCTAAATGTGCCGCAATTATACATCCAGAGA